TGAGTGTCTCTGGGTGTCTCTGTGTCTGTCTCTGGGTCTCTGTGTGAGTGTTTGACTCTGGGTGTCTCTGTGTGAGTGTCTGACTCTGGGTGTCTCTATGTGAGTGACTGTCTCTGGGTGTCTCTGTGTGAGTGTCTGACTCTGGGTTCTCTATGTGAGTGACTGTCTCTGGGTGTCTCTGTGTGAGTGACTGTCTCTGGGTGTCTCTATGTGAGTGTCTGATTCTGGGTGTCTCTGTGAGGATGTGTCCTGGGTGTCTCTGTGTGAGTGTCTCTGGGTGTCTCTGTGTGAGTGTCTCTGGGTGTCTCTGTGTGAGTGTCTCTGGGTGTCTCTGTGTCTGTCTCTGGGTGTCTCTGTGTGAGTGTCTGTCTCTGGGTGTCTCTGTGTGAGTGTCTGTCTCTGGGTGTCTCTGTGTGAGTGTCTGTCTCTGGGTGTCTATGTGTGAGTGTCTGACTCTGGGTGTCTCTGTGTGAGTGTCTGTCTCTGGGTGTCTCTGTGTGAGTGTCTGACTCTGGGTGTCTCTGTGTGAGTGACTGTCTCTGGGTGTCTCTGTGTGAGTGTCTGATTCTGGGTGTCTCTGTGAGGATGTGTCTCTGGGTGTCTCTGTCTGAGTGTCTGTCTCTGGGTGTCTCTATGTGAGTGACTGTCTCTGGGTCTCTGTGTGTCTCTGGGTGTCTCTGTGTGTCTCTGTCTGAGTGTCTGTGTCTGGGTCTCTCTGGGTGTCTCTGTGTGTCTCTGGGTGTCTCTGGGTGTCTCTGTGTGTCTCTGTCTGAGTGTCTGTGTCTGGGTCTCTCTGGGTCTCTGTCCTGCCTGGACCCCTTAAACAGCTCCCTCCCCCCGCCCCTCCCCTCCACCAACTTCACCCCCCCCCCTTCTCCCCCCCCCCCCCCCTCGTTCGTTTAGTTCCGCTGGTAACAGAGGTGTCCTGACCCTGAGCGTTGAAGCAAATTACACTTGGGGGGAGGGGTGAGGGGGGAAGTTGGTGGGTTAGGGGCGGGGCTGGGGGGAGATTGGGGATTGAGGCGGACGGGGGAGCGGGGGGGGGGCCCACCCTGACCGCCATGCCTCCTGGTCGTGTTCAGTGTCCTTCACTCGCGCCCGTCTCGATTGTCCGGCGTCCTGTGAAATGGTTGGAACCTGCACACAGCATCATCACGCATCATCATATTATCAATATCATCAATGTATCATCATTATCATGATGCGTTCATTAATCATCTTCATCATTAATATGTTCGTTAATGTCATCATCAATATCATTATCATCAATGTAAATTATCATCATCATCATTAATACGTTCATTAATATAATCTTCATCATTAATATCTGCATTAATGTCCAATCATCAACATCATCATCAATTCGTATCAATATCATGATACACCATCATTATCCCATCAATGTCATCCATATAACCGTCCAATATTATCGTCGATGTCATCATCCACCATCAATATCTTCATCAATATCTTCATCAATATCATCATCAATGACGAGGGGGGTTGGGGGAGGGGTGACGAGCAGTGGGTTGAAACTGTGGGGGGCAGGGAGGGATGGAGGGGGGTTAGGGGAAGGGGGCTCTTTAATGACCGAGAGATGCAAAGTCTGAATCGGTGGTTCGGACCACGGCCACAACGAGTATCGAGCGAGACATAGTCACCGACCCGCATTGACCCAGAGTGGTGAAGTATGGTTTTTTTAGTTGTGGTGTGTAATCCGATATTTATTCATAGTTCGGTGTTTTGTCGCTACTTGGTTGCTGTGTTCTTCCTACGATGGTAAACGATGAGAGTAAAGTCATCATTCTGATGATTGTGTAGGTGTCAGTGGAGGGCTGATGGGGGAGTGATGGGGAAGAGAGGGAGTGATGGGGAGTGATGGGGGAGTGATGGGGGGTGATGGGGAAGAGGGGGGGGGGGTGATGGGGAAGAGGGGGGGGTGATGGGGAAGAGGGGGGGGGGTGATGGGGAAGAGAGGGAGTGATGGGGGGAGTGGTGGGGGAGTGATGGGGGGGTGATGGGGAAGAGGGGGGGAGTGATGGGGAAGAGGGGGGGTGATGGGGGAGTGATGGGGGGGTGGATTGGGGAAGAGGGGGACTGGGGTGATGGGGAGTGATGGGGAAGAGGGGCGGGGGGTGATGGGGGGGAGTGATGGGGAAGAGAGGGAGGGGGGGTGATGGGCACGTGACGGTTGCAGTGATGCGAGCAAGATGAAGGGGGGTAATTGATGACGGGGTCGTGGCGATGCCTCTCTTCATACCACATATGCCATCGCGCCGCGCCGCTCATTCCCTCTCATTTATCCTCTAATTGTAAACGCGACTCAAGGGACGGAGGGGGGCGGGGTAGGGATGAAAGCGGGGAGGGGGGGGGCTGGTGGCGGGGGGAGGGGCTCGGGTTAATTGGGGGGGGGCGGGAGTGCTGATTGCTCTTTCGCTCTGCCTCGCGGGAATGAAGCTGCTAAGGGGTTGGGGGTGCAAGGGGGGGGTAGAGGGGGAAA